ACCCCTAACCAGTAACCTGTAACCCACAGCCCTAACCCCAACCCTTAATCCTTAACCCTCAAGCCCCTACCCCTAAACCAACCCCAAGCCTAACCCTAACTCCAAACCCCTAAGCCCTATTTCAACCTCTAACCCACACCCACCACCCCTAACCTCCTGCCCCCAACCCTTATCCCCTAACTCCAACCCCTGACCCCCAACCCCAACCCTCGTACCTGAAGGCACGTGAAAGCCCCCAGGACTCTGCCAGGACAGCAAAAGCCCCACAGGTTCCATGTGGGCCTGAGGCGACTTTAGCTGGAGGTTGGGAGCTCCCCAGCCAAAGCCTGGCAGAAAGGGGCAGGATCTTACCAGACTCCCGTCTGCCATGAAGTGGACTCCTCACATTGCTGCCACCTGCAGTCATGGGAACTTTCTTCCCTTCTTTCTGTCCTTTCACCGCCGTCAGAGCTGTTGTCTCTGGGCTTGAAGCATGTGGCACAGGCCCCTGTTCTGGTACTTCAGCTCGTGGCCTGTCTTGTGACTGGGGCATCAGGGTACCAGTCTCTCTCTCACCCTGCAGTCCCTCTACATCTTTTCACTGATGGAAAGGGATGTGAGCTTTGAAAATAGACTCTAAGGATAGAGAGAAATCCTGAGGAGACAGGTGCTAGGAAACAGGCGGCCGTTGGAGAGAGGAAGGTAACATCTCCTTGTCATAATGGGGGGACTCAATGATCCTAAAGGTCTTTCCCACCTAAATGATTCTATGATTCTTCCACCTCCTGACCCGCCTTTTTAAGTTCCTTGGCAGGACGTGGTTTGTGGAGGGCACAAAGCCATTGTTGTGCACTGTTGAGGTGGGAGGTTGTGGGAGGGATGAAGCTTCACATTTGTTTTGACGAGCGTGGCTGGGACTTCCCCTTGGAGTCTTTTCCTCCGCTCTTCAGGTAAGCGAGCGGGAGGGGCATCATTCAGAGCTGCAGGAGATACTGGAGCAGTGGGAAAAAGAGAAGGAGGAGACAGAAGGGGAGCACGAGAAGAAGCTGTGTGATACGAAGCAGAAAGATGCTGCCACACGAGCTCAACGAGAGGAGAAACGAACCAGAGTCGAAAATGCCAAGCAAGAGGTAAAGACTGTGAAAGGAGAATTTGTGTAACTGTTTTGCAAAGCTAGAGTCGTGGGAGATGTCTGGATGTCGGGCTGCATGGAGCATGCCCTATGTGTTTGCTACATTGAATTTGGTGAGGTGAAAGGCAAGCAGGGTTCTCTTTGGGACTAGGAATGAGACCTGTCAGAGGAAGCCGGGCAGAAGCATCCCCTTTCCGTTGAGATTTCTGTGCTGCCATTGTGCTGGGTTTTTTTAAGACTTACCTCAGCACCTTCAGAGTTCTCTTAACAGCCCTCTTTTGATCTTTACTGATACATGCTTATAACCTGAACTCCATTAAAGACCAAACTGCATTTGTAGGACTGAATCCCCGTGAGGATGGGGTTTTTGTTTGCGGGGGACAGGGGAACATGGCAGGATTGTTGACAAAAGAAAAATTTTGAAGGCTCCTCTGAAATATTTCTGAGCAGTAAAGCAGGGATGTCCTCTGGGCTGTTTTCAGTCACTTGCTGGTAAGCTATTTTGTGCCCAGATCTCCTGTGCAACCCTGTCCCACAGCAAGAGTCCTCCTTGTGTCCCCCCCAAGTCCTCTTCACGGGGTCTGCCTGGGGACAGCAGTCCCCCCAGCTGTGTCTGCAGGGATTGAAATGCCAGGGCAGTGCTAAGAGATGTCAGCGCGTCCCTGTAGTGTCAGTACTTTACCGGTCTAATGAATACCTTAAAAATGAAGTCATTTTCACCAAACCTCACTTGGAATACATGAGTTGTCTGAAGGAGCTGCTGGCTTCAGCCCTCTGGCAGCCCCCCTGCATCTTCTCTGCTGCTAACTAGGTGTAAAATTCGCTGTTGAAATACAAACAGGCCACAGCGGAAGAGGAGGGATGCCCTCACCAGCAAGGGGAGAGGTCTGAGAAGTGCCACACGGTTTCCTGTTAGGTGTTAGCTGTTTGCTGGAGGTGCAGTCACAGGGGGACCGTGTCTGGACCATGTTTATGCTGCCAGTCTCTCTGAGGGAGCTGTCTCTGCAAGTGGCAGAGAAGGGCCTGGGAGAGCAGCAGCACACGCTTTGAGAGCGCCTCAGCCCACTGGTATTGGAGCCTTGCCACACAAATTCTGTGTGAGAAGTTTAAACCTGTCTTCTCTTTGTTTCTGCGCAGGTCCTGCAAGAAAAGGAGCATGAGTGCTTTATTAGAGACACTGCTTCAGACTCAGGGAGAGCGAAGAGAAGCCAACCAGCAGCTGGAGCAGCTCAGGCAGGAGGTAAAGAGCAGCGCGAGGACGGGCAGGTAAGTCTGACTGGTAGGTTGAAGGAACAGGCCGCTGGTAACCGGACATAAGCTGAGAGGCTGAGAGAAGCAGGTAACAGAGTGAAGGGCAGTAACAAGGACATAAAGCCCAAGTGCTGTGAGTGAGGAGGCAGGGACTGCTGCAGGCGCTGAAAGCACAGAGCCTGATGAGCTCCAGAGATAGAGCAGCAACAGGGAGGAAGTGTTCCGCTGGAAGCAGAGCCGGGTGGAGAAGCAGAAGTGGCTGAATGAATGGGATTTTGAGACAGAAAGAAGAGAAAGCTGAACCTTCTGGCAGGTCCCCGTAGCTTGCTCTCCAGTTGTGTTTGCAGAACGTCACAGAAGAACTGCAAGCAGGGCTGCAGGAGACTCAGAGTGAGATGCAGGCAGTGGAGAAGAGGCACAAGGAAGAAATCAAACCCATGAAAGAGGAAATTACTGTCCTCCTTCAGCAGAAGGATGCTCTGCAAAACCAGGTGAGTGAAACAGCAAGAGCTGCTCCAGTCATCAGCGGGGTGGTCTCTGCCCACGGCAGAGCGGCCGGCGGTGGGGTCGGTCCCTCTGGCTGCCATCACGCTGTGGTCTCCGTCTCAGCTGGGCCGAAGGGGACTGACGGGCGGCTGCTGCCCTGACACAGGGGCTGCTCTTTTTGCCTGTTGGCCAGCACTCCTCAGAAGGGATTTCTGCCGGCCTGTTACTGCTAGCCTTGTGCTTTAAGGTGCTTTTTCAGATGAATGTGGTGACCCACTCAGATTTTTAAACAAGCCAGCTGTATCCATTGCGAGTCTGGTGCTTTCATGAAAGGGTGAAATTTCAAGTTGTACTTTCCTTTCCTCACAGTATATGATATGGCTGATGCGGCTGACAGTGGCAAGCTGTATGTAGTCTTTGACTGCTCTGTTGTGTTTTACTTGAGGTGGAAGAGTTGACATCTCAACTAGCAGCCTCCAAAGAGTCCCAGCAAGTGATTGGTTGCCAAGCTCAGCAAGGTCTGAGTGAGGCACAGGAACTGTCAGGGCAGAAGGTGCCGGATGTTGTCACTTCCAGAAGATCCTGGAGAAGAGGAGTCAATGGGAGAAGGTAGAACGTCAGAGCAAGGAGCTGCAAGGGTGTGTGCGGTCCTTGGGGGGGAAGGGAGTCGCTGGGGAGAGGTGGAGCATCACAACACAGAATTTCAGGCTTTGTTGAAGGTCCTAGAGAATGACAAAGCCTGGTAAATGAAGTCTGTGAAACTCCCTCTTCTGGTTAATGGATTCCCTCTTTCACATCTTTGCATCTACAAGTGGCTCTGGCAGCATTCCCTAGAAGCAGTTCTGAACTATCCATGCAGATATGTTTCATTCTCTCAATGTGGTGTTTCATTTTCTTTTCTTTGAATCCTTCAGTTACGGTTTTTCTGAAGAAAGTCGCTGTCCCTCCTGGCTGGCAGGGTTGGGGGGCCGGGGCTGGTACCCAGCCGTGGAGCCGCTGGGGCAGGGGAGGATGGAAGCGGGGGCCGACACTCCGTCACGGTGGTTCTCTCCAATTGCTCCGCTCGCCTCTCACTGCAGATGATTTAAGCACGGCAGCTCCCTGTCCGTCTGTCTGTCCGCTGTGTGTCGGTCCTAGCCTGTTTTTGTCTTGTGTGGCTGCCTGGGTCCTGCCCACGTCCTCCTCTGGCTCCCGACTTGGCCCACCTCTGTCTGGCTGACCCCATCCTTGTGCTGCCCGCTTGGCACTTGCTCCTGGCGGGCACTTGCCCATGGCCCCAGCTGGGTTCAGGGGCTGAAAAGGTCCCGGACACATTTGCGGTGCCTGGATGTGGGGAGGGACAAGTGTTGGTGATGGAGCGGGAAGGGACGTGCTGGGGCAGCGCCATGTAACCAGGGCCAGCCAAAGCCCGGCTGGTCCCATTGTCCTTCTCTGTGCTGAGGGATGAGAGAGGCCGCTGGAGGCAGAAGCAGGGGCAGCGGTGCGTGCCCGGAACTCAGGGCTGCTCTTCCCTGGGCCCTTGTGCCTCAGTTTCCCCTGGAGGCCCTGGCTGGGGTGCAGCTGTGATGGGGGCTGAGGGCAGAGACTTTCTCTGCCTGTGGAGAGCAGCATCTGCCTGGGGCCTGACAGTGCCTGGCCCGGCTGCTCAGCGGTGGGGCAGGTTGCTGGTACGAGCTGTGAGACTTTTTCCCTGGCGGGGGTACAGCCCTCGGAGCCCGGGCTCTGGGTCCCATCTCGGCAGTGCTGCGGGGGCCCTGCCTGGCTTTGGCGGAGCAGTCACCGCTTGTCCTCTTCTGCTCAGTCGGTGGCCATGGGCTTCTGCCCCACGGGGCCAGGGAAGGGCCACAGCCACCCCCAGCCCTCCTCTCCCCTTGCTTTGACCGCAGGCACCTTCACGAGGAGGAGCCGTGGTGCGGGTGCCGGTGGCTGGGGACTGGGTGCCAATCTCTGTGGGGACAAACGCCCGTCTCATGTCCCCCAAAACCTTTTGCTTCCAACAGCAGCATTTGGAGAGGCCCTGGGGGCAGCCTGGGGCTGAGCCTTCCTCAGACCTCACGGGGACCCCGTGTCCCAGCCTTGCTGGGGGGCTGAGGTGGTGTCAGCTCTATGGGGTTCAAGGGCCTCTTGCTCAGCCTGTGCCTCAGTTTCCCTCCAGGACAGGAAACCCTTCTGGTGTCCTTGCTTGGCCCTAACTCTGCTGCTTGTCCCTCACACAATGCTTCCCCACCAGCAGACCCCCCCTGCTACCCCCTCCTGATTCAGATGTGCCTCAGTGCACCCCCAGGAGGCTGGTTAGGACCCCCCCCATGGCACTGCTACCCCATTTCACACTGTTTCTCTTGCCGCTGCTGGGCCTGGGTCAGTGTGGGGTTGTCGCTGGCCCAGCACCCCATGGACCAGGACTCTGAGTCCCAAACGCAAGTGCAACTGCCCGCTCCTGTGGATGCGCATGCCGGGTCGCAAATCATCTGCATCACTGGCAATGTAAATATGTCAGCAGCATTCAAGCTAGAAGATTAACGATGTCCAGATTAATGACGCACTTGTGTTAGAAGACTAACTGCGTCTAGATTAATGATCGCTAAAAGCGAAAGTATTTTTGCTCTTTCAGGAAGAAACAGATAAGAAGGGAACCTGTAGAATATCAAGGCAGAACTTTGTCTACCGGTTGTGCGCACTCGGAAGCGCTCTTTGAAAGTGCTGAGAGGAGCAGGTGTTTTGAAATGAGCCTGCGCCAGAGCAACACGCAGATTTGCTGACACAAGAATATATAAGGGCTCGTTTTTCTAATAAACGTCAGAGCTTGACTGTTAGCCATGTTGGTGTGTGTGTGTCTTTGTTGGAGAACGGCTTGCAGAGAGCAAGGTCATAGCTCCCTGCAGGAACTGGTCGCAGCCACCTGAGGTAAACAGAGGAAAAAACCCAGGGTACAGTTATGCTAACAAAGGGCTGTTATGTTAACAAAGGGAGAAACTGAGGTACATTATGGCCTTGTGTATGATAAAGGAACGGCCTTGGGAAAGAAAGCAGGCCAGAAGAGGGAAGGTGTTGTGACATGCCTGAAATGCCACAAGGGGCTGGGATATTATTATGTGATCTTTTACAGGTATCCAATAGATTTGTGAGTAGTGTGCATGATTATTGTAGAGTGCTTATATAAGGGGGGGATTTCTTTCAATAAAGTTGAAGCTCGCTCTATCATTCACATTGAATCGGCTGCTTGCTTCCTCTGCCCGCCGCAAGTGGCGCCCGAACAGGGTTACCTGAACTCTGCTTTTCCACCGAATGGAACCCGGGAAGCGGCAGAACGGACTCGGCATAGGAAGGCGACGCTGGCACCTCCTCAGCGCCAGCTGCAGGTGTTCGCTCCGAGAAGGGCTACCCCACAAAGGCCGCAGTAGGGGACTTACCCAGGAAAGGCCAAGGAATTCAGGAATTAAGGAACCTGGTCATTGGCTACTTGATCGGATGTTAAAGAAGGTCGTCAAGCTACACGATCCAGCATTTTAAGGAATTTAAGGAATTTTCACCCGGGCAGGAATATTTGAACGAGAGGTAGTCCTAAAATTTTTTTTGCTTTTTAGAAAAGCAGGGAATAACTCTGATAAAAAACTTAGCCGTGCTGATTGGTCTGGGCAAGGCTAAGGGACAATTTAAAGAGCCAAATTTATTGTTTAAAGAAGCAGAATGGTGCGATAATCTTTTAGACCCTGATGCTGAAAAAGAATCTGGACTGTCTGATCTGTATCCTCCCTTAATTGGGGATGATCCGTAGATAAAAGTGAGGCGAAAGAAACGTAAAACTGAGGTGTAAAAACCTTGGCGCAAGGGAATATGGACATGGCAAGAAAAATTCTTTCTCCTGTAAGCTATGAGCCGAGTCATCAGCCACGTTGGGAAGAACGGCATTTTTCTGTTATTCAAGATTTAGAGAAAAGCATTAATAAGGACGGGCTGCAAAACCTCAGACTACAACAGCTGTACTGGAGGCGATGGCTCAGGGATATCGACTGGCCCCGTAAAAATTGGCTAACACTTTTAAGAAAACAACAGCATTCACGCCGGCACAGCACTCTATCCGGAAAACTGAGCGTGTGGATCTCTGTGCTCGGCGTTCGGAGCTGGTGGTGGCGGCCAGGGGCCTCCCCGAGCCCCCCCGCC